TTCACTCATTCATTCGATTTATATATATATATATATATATATATATATGCATATATATTTAGTTATTTATTTGCTCAATTAATCATTCCACTACTCCATTTATCTGATGACTGTTCAATCACAAGTTAATTAATTAGTTAAATTCTTAGTTCTTCTTCTCTTTTCATACCCATTTTTTAATTTAATTATTACCTAATCACGTATTCGATTTATTTACCTACTTCTCAGGGAAACATAATGCTTCGAGACACATCAATAGCTTTACCTCTACTTTCTGGACTTAGTGTAGAAGTGAAGTCGGTAGGTGCCATCTCGTTGAAACTGCTTACCGCATCGTCAGTTTCACTTTGGAATCAGAAGTCAACCTCGGATTTCAAGGCTAAGTTGGTCACTTTGCTCTTTGAGTCACTCACATATGCTTACGTAATTTTAAAACGTAAGGATTTGTTCAGCATATCAGCTAGTTTGGATACACACGCCACTTTGCTGCACCATGGAAATATCGTGCACAAGCTGAGTTCTTCTTTGGGAGCAGTCGGCACGGTTGGTGGAGATGCCCAAATCGCATTTTCCAACATCCCTATTGATATGTGCATGAGAATGCATAGAGACGATTTGCATGTCAGGTAATCGCTCTTAATTGTTTGTGGCAATCCGATCTCCGACAATCCTACATTTAGTTTCAAATCGGTTGACGAAACCACGCAGAAACCACGAAAGAAGAAGACAGTTACCAGCAGCAAAAAATATCCTGGAGTGACCTTCAAATTGAATGAACACCTTACAAACCAATGCAATTGGTTAGTGAGTAATACTCCTCCTTAGTGATGATTTAAAATATTGAGCAGTTGTTTGTTGTTCTCTTGTTTTTATGGGTATCGAATAAAGTACTAATTTGTTTTTAATTAGTTTAACGGTTTACTCTAGAATTTATAAAATAGGAAAAGCATTACAGCCTTTTGATTGATTCGGTATAATTTTCTTCACGATAGGTAAGAGGACTAAGCTAACTGAGGTGATAGGGATTTAACCAGAAATTACCACTAACAACGAAATCCCGC